TGGAAACATAAAACTTACTTACCAATAACAAAGAGTTTCGTATTTGGCACAGAGGAAGACGATGACGAAGAAGAAGAAGAATCCGAAGAGATACAGCTAGAAATCATTAACCCGCCCATATCACGGCGTCGGCGAGTCGAAATTACGACGGTTCCGACATTGATTCGGCCGCAAGAGACGCTACAGACGGCCGAGAAGTTAGATCGGAAGAGGCGATCTCCGAAACACGACGGAACGACAACTATCCCTAAGCTCACTGCCATTGTCATCTTCTCCTTCTTCGCCGGACCCTGTCCCCTCAACTTACTACACAAAACTTTGATTTATTGAGGGTAATTTTGATTAATAATCATTTATAAATAATTTATAATTCTTGTGTCTGGTATGCAAACTCATTGGTATAACCACTCACAGCTGGCAGCTGCTAAAGCAGATCAAATGAGTATTCTCTGGCTCTACTCTTATCTGAAACACAAACCAGACACAAGAATTTTAACAAAATGAGACACAAGAATTCTCAGCTACTTTATTCTCTGGCTCATTCAAACTTGTGCGCTATCAATCTTAAGATAACAGAAGGAAGAAGCATAAACAACAAGAAAGCAATTGCATGTTTATTCAAACAAAAACGATTTCATCATCACTAGTGATTTACTACAACAAATCTGAAATACATGATACATTTCACTACCTTAACTTAAACGAAAAGACTTAACTAAACAAGCATGATTAGAATCTGAAACAAGAACTCCCAAAACATTATTAGAATCTGAAAAAAAAAAAAAAGCTGCAAGAACTCAACAGACCAACACCAATTGAGATCATATCACATGCTTAACAAATTAAAGCTGCAAAAGAAGTGTTATAGCTGCAAATTAAACCCTTTTTCTATATTGATCACAAGTAACCGATTAAAACCAGAGATAAGTATAGTACAAAGCCAAGGAAATCAAAGTAGAGAAGCAGTCACAAAGTGAAAGAGACCCTAGACCTTAGAGAAGCTAAAAACAAGAAAATGGTTTTAAACAAGAACCATTAGCAAATGCGTAAACTCTGCAACAACAACCACAACTACATTATCAATTAAAGCTGCAAAAAGACATAAGAAAATGAGGTGTAAACTGCATTTGTTCTGCTACACTACTTCTCTAATCTCCAACAGAGATTAAAAAAAAAAGTGAATTATTAACACCCTAATCTAGTCAAGAACACTCTAATCGAATCAGTAAAACCTTTAGTAGCAAAATCAGTGAGCGTAAGAACTAAGAACCATTATGTTTACTTCTCCAATTCTGAATTCTTAGCTCCAAGAACCATTATGTTAACTTTTCCAATTCTCAATTCCAAGAGCAGAGAGTAAAAATTCAAATAGATTCACATTCCATTCAACTAACATTGATGCATCAATCAAATCTAACAAACACCCACGATTCATACCCTCAGATTAGAAAATGAAATCAAAAATATCAAATTTACAAAGCAAGGGTCGCAGGGAAAACATACAGATTCGTGGAAGGACCTCTGTTGCAGTAGAAATCGATGAGAAGCAGCACTCACTAACGATGTCGGAGTCACTGATTCGATGCTTTTGGTTCTTAGTCACACCCTTTTCAGACAAGACCATTATGCT